TATATATGATTTTAAATTTTTCTTACCATACTATCTTTTTTTCCTTACAAATCAATGAAAAGGTAACTTCAAACAGCCCTGCTAAAAATGAAAGTATAATTAAAACACTCACCTTGGCAGGACTGAGGATATCCTTATGCTCAATATTTACATGCAATTCTAAATCTGGGCTATTCTGGAAGGTACGAACACAGAGTGGGCAATTATACACTGTCTCTTCTGGACCAGGTGGTGATGCAGGGAATGAAGGGCTTGTCAGATCAAAATGTTGTCTGTTAATATGTTCTTCTAACTGCAGTGGAGAATCGCTACTATATGAGCACATGGGGCACTGCTGAGGTATTGGTTTCTTTGCTGGACTGGGTACAGCACTAGTCCGAAGATTCAGCGCCAACTGTGATCGGAGAGGAGAGCCAGAACCCGCACTAGCTGTACCTGCTAGAGCACTTCCACTGCTACTACTACTACTACCCGCAGCACTACCACCTCCACAATAATTATTGTTATTATTGTTGATATTGTTTATCCAGCCATTCTCTCTGGGTTCAGGTGAGAGTACCCATGGTGATGGTCGAGCCATATCTTGTTCACTGCTGTCTTCATCCTCATCATCATCAATAAAAGCTAAAAGTTCTTGTTCAGGAGTTAAATAATCCAAATGAGCACTGTTGACATGCATCAACATTTCCTCTGCTGAAACCTCACCCAAATCACAAAATGGGCAAGAAGCAGCACCCTCCAGGTGGCAGAACACCATATGTGAACGCATCTCCTCATCATTGAGTCCTTCAACACCACATATCTCACAAGAATAACTCAGCTCAGGCATCTTGGCAGCCATCACACACCACACTCCAGCTGTAGACTGGAAGTAAACACATTAAATGTTATTGTAACATGATAATAAACTCTAACTGTTGCTCATGCCTCCACCAAAAGTAATGAAAACATAGTTTTCACATTGGAACACTCACAGACATACTGAAGTAGTTTTAAATGGCCCCATTTAAGCTATTAATATGTGTAGGATTCAAATACAAAATACAGTGATTTTATATAGACTACAAATAACTGAATATCTTTAGCTTTGCTGCCAAGGCAAATCTACAAAGAAATGCTGGAAGGGGGAGGTTTGCCAGTGACACTTGAAAGTCGTAAGGTTTAGGACAAGAAGGAAATATCAGAAATTTTATAGACAGGCGCAGGAGAACAATATGCAGTGGGGTTGAGGGGTTAATATGTAGATTTATTGTTAAGACAGCCACTGTTTAAGAGATCACTTTTAAGTCACATGCCATTAGCCGCAGGATGATCAATCAGCAAGGAGAGAAAGAGTTGATATGAAATACTACCCCTGGACAGTGGACACATCACTACTAACTTTTTAGGGATCTGGGACTTACTCATGTTTAAACTCCTTATTTGATTCCACAGAAGAAGATTCAATTTGCATAGATCATTAGAATTTAGAACAATTTCTCTTATAGCTAGTTTAACACAATTGGAAGTTTTATCAGAAATTCTTTAGAACAGAATAGAATTTACATTCACAGATAATTCATAAGCCTAAGCCAAGGATGTAGAATATGTCATAGCACCAACACAATACTTGTTTTTAATATAAATATAAAATTACAAAGTTGTAACAGTGATTTACAGTCTACTACAGTATTAATGAAAAATAATTAGACACAAAAGCATTACCACTACTGCTTACATGTATCTATAATAGTCAAGAATTTTTGGTTGATGTAATTCTATGGAGTAGAAGTGAGACGGGAGATACTGTTTTAGTGCTGGCTTAAACTTAAATCGTGAATCAGAATATATTTTATTGTAGAGGAAGATTATTAATTTACATCCAGATTAATCATATCTTACATATTAATCAAAGCAAGAATTATTTAATAGCTATGATTACTGTAGAATTAGATAGTGTCAAGCTGAATATTACATTTAATTCTGTTGATTCTAGGAAAGTTCAATGTATATGTTAAAACTCTTGCCAAATTAAATGGTTACACTCTCAATGTTAAAAAATAATTCTTGTAAGGCCATTCTAACAGAAGAACAGTAGCAGAACATAAGAGCTTGAGCATTCTAAATATTTAGTTTTAGTGTAAAAATAAAATCTTTCTATAATTATAACACAGATCTTTAAACAACTCTGTACTCATGATATAAATTTACTGTTTTGCAATTTATGTTGGATGTTTGTTTATGGAAAAAGATTCTGAACTTTTTTCACTTTAGAGAGAACTTAGACTCCAATTGTGTAACTTCAAGACTAGAGTGTGTTGTTGAGATAAATGTACATTAAATTTCCGATATAATTAATTCGTTTGCTACATATGTAAAAACATTAAATATTATGTGCAGGCCTACTGCAATGATAGAAAGGGCTATATCATTGCAGCAGTTTGTACATAAATGAAATGCCGTTTTTTTAGACGTTCAGAAAATAGGACAAAATTACACTGACGATAGCATCACAAATTTACAAAATAACCACTTACAATCCACTGTTTTGAAAGTTTAACAAATTCGCCCGATAGGAATACTATCCGAATAACAGTACTGTTCTGTAGGATGCCTATATCGCCAGGGTAACACGCGGCAGCTTTACGTCAGCTGTTTAAATCAATATGTTCTGCCATGGTTAGCTCCTTTTAAAAAAATCTTAGAATTAATTCCCGATAATGAGTAATGGTCCCAATTGATCATCAAACACAACACACCGCCTTCAGGTATATATTTAATACGAGAAGAGAATGCAGATCTACAGGCAGTTGTAATGTCAGCGTATTTCTTTCGCCTTGACAGCATGATCATGTAGACATCCACAAATGAACGAAATTAAAACAAATATATGCATGCAAGGATTATATTAAACTCGACTGGCATAAGGTAAACAAATATAATGACTCGACAGCAAAACATATAGGTCTATTACCGTTTCACTTGACCTCCTACACGTTCAGTACTAATTAATATTCAATCTTTTATCTGAGGCGTCGCAGTCGGCGCCTATATGCGCCAGTTCTGCACGATTATGGTGGACGGCGTTCTCTAAACTGTTAGAAATGTCGTCTTCACTTGGTTCAAGTTCGGAAGAAAATCCCATAGGAATTAAGTAAGAGCCATACAAAACAACGAATAAACATTATTACAGTTCTGTATTTTAATGTTTAGATGGCAGACGTGTGAGAACAAAATATTTTGAATTGTGTGGTTCCAAGCATTCCCCAATTTTAATATACTTTTAATTTCTATGTATTTCTGGTACCACCATTCCTCAGTATTTAAAATTTGACAAATTTTTGAAGGATTTGTTGGCTTCCATTACACAATAACCTTGTTTTGCTGTCTGGCGACAAGATGTAACATATACGTACTCATTTTCCTCTACATTTATTTCAAGACCGACTTCCTTACCAGCATTTAATAGAGCTTCTTTGTTTTTCTTTATACTTATGTTTTGCCCAATGCGTTAACATCTCCAGGATAGACAAAAGCTGATTTGTCCAATTCAATTCCAATTTCTCGTTGTTCTCTTGAACTCTGTAACGGAACATTCAAAAGCTGTGGTCCTCAAAACATTTTAGTGCTGCAAAACACTTTTGATACTGGCAATAAAATATTTTCCACAGAACCTTAGACACAAACACGTTTTTAGGTGACATACTTATTTCAGATTTACAATTTTATGTACAGAGAGTTGAATTAAATTCACACCATATTTAGGCAACAATTTTCGTTGCACATGATGTCTTCTGGGATGTTACGCTGTGTAGTCTGCCTACTTGGCACAACATTTCAAAAGGCAGTTATCTTCATATTCGCCGCAGTCGTGAGAACCTGAAATATGTCTTGTTTACATTTTATTTACATATGTGACAGTGTGAAAGGCAAGCGTGTTTGCTGGACACACTAGAGTTGAAGACTGGTACAATTTTGGAAAGCTGTATCTTCATGTCTGAATAAAGTGTGTTTCGGTATGTCATTGTTGTCACACCAATCAATGCACACTGCCATCTAAGCAATAGTCCTAACAGGATGTAATCACTGAACTTGGCAGTAGACTGGTAACAGCAAAGAAAGATATTTCATAACACAACTCTGTAAACATTGTGTTTTATTCCTAATAATAACACTAAATAAAACACAATGGGTATACTTGTGTATAAATCTGATATGGAAATATTTTAATAATTCCAACATGGGGCATTAGTGTTATTGTGTAGTGTATATGTTATCACACTAAGTGACATGAAGACATGCAGTCAGAAAATTCTCTTATCCTGTGGCTAGTGTTTTCTTTATATATGTTCTTAACCACCTTTTTTCACAGCTCACATCATGTCCTTTCATGCTGCATGAACTCAGAAATGTGCTTAGAATAATTTGTCAGACACCTGATGGATTTTATAAAGATGAAAAGTAACAGCTGCAGCAGATTTTGTTGTCTGTTCTCCAAAACCAAAATTTCCACTTGAATGAGCTCCTGTCACTACAAAATCAAGACTGGAACTTTGACAACGTTTTTATGAGAGTCCAAACTACAGTTCATGTCAGTATATATGTCTCTGGTGAGCAGAACTTTCATAATGTAAACAACAGAATAAGTGTCATTAATGCAGTGTCTACTTCATCAGTAGCTGCAAATATGCAATATAAAATGACTATAGATATACATCTCCTCTTAAGATTATGTTTAAGACAACAAGGGGAATGCAAAAGAATTCTTCAGCACTACAACATATTGTCTAACACAAATCTATAAAAATAATGCAATAACTTGTTTCTTGTTAGATATATCAGATGAATTATTATTAATTTGCTATTACAACTATTTCACCTGAAACACACTGAAATAAATGATATAAGAATGCCTTACACAGTAATTTCCTATGGCCAATGACAGTACAAATTGTATCACTTACCAGTGATAAGGTACTTCACATACTCCAAAGAAAATCTGGGTATGTAAAGTACTAAAACTTTAGCAATAAGCAAATAACAGTTCTTAAAACGTAGCACTCTAAAGTTCAATTACGAATGTCGTACGTACGAAAATTTAAATGTTATTTGAAGCATGGCAACGACGTTCCATAAAATAGGGTTGATATATATATCAATACGTGCCAATGCAACATATGGCTCGTTAAGTTTACTACACATCAGAAACATGATTTATACCGAATAAGAAAAAAACTCGTTAATTACATGTAGAAACTAGAGTCAACTTTCAACATTTCGAATACCCGCATAATTCCCGCACAATCCAAACTGGCCGAAACAACAAAATGCCATAATATATGTCTTATTGGTCATCTGAGGTCATTGTTCGTCACGGAACACCAATGTGTGCTGGATTTTCACAGTAGATCATGCATTAAAAAAGGTATTAACAAAACCGATTTTCACACAATTTCTCGAACCTGCGAAAGTATTTTCAGTCTGTGGACAATATTAATAGATTACAGCAGCATACTGTTCACAATATTACGTTCTTTTATATATACTGAAAGATATATAATGTTTTAATGATACAGTCGCTAGAATTTTAAAATGATTTGTACGCTGTGGGTTTAATTAATAATGCAGAATGACTGTACCACTTAATTTGCATCTGTGTAACTTACATATCACAGATGATAAAAATTTCGAGCAGGATATCAGGTCATGCATGAACTTGTACTTCGTAACTATTCATGTTATCTATGGATGGTTAAGAAACCTACTTTTCTACTGCTGTGTAATGCAATTGTATGCTTGTTAAAAGTAGTTTGAGAAACAGAAGTGAAGACGATTGTTTTTTTTAGGGCAACACCTTGATTTATAAATGATGGCTTCAGTTTTTTGATTTCTATCAATGCAAGGTATTATGTAACGTTTGTGCGAAATAGAGCATTCGAAGGAAGTATAAGACATATACAGATTAACATCAACATGAGCTGCAAGGTAAACAAAAATATTTACATTTGTTTGTACAGCACAAATATATTTACTATCAAAGTAAATACTAATGGGACACCTTTGTAATAGTGTGTAAGTACATATGGGCGATGCATTGTTGTGGTTTGCTGTGTCAGCTGTAGGTTTTGCATTTTGTAGATGTACTGCTGCAATGCGATTGTACATAATCACACAAGTTTACTCCTTTCAGTGTATTTCGTATCATTTTGGCGTTTTTGCACTACAGTTTTTGTACTCTGAAATGTTACACATAATGTTACTCTTAAAAGTTCAGTGTTTAAAGTAACATGTATAAGATATTAAAATTGTGACATTCGGTTTATATTAACATTCGTTTTACACTTTCATTGCAGGGAACTATATTATCAGGACTGGATGCAGCACTCCTTGAGCTTGGAATGCTAAGTACTGTAACAGAGAGCAGGCAGGATTACTTGCGGGAGCAGAGGCAGCATCACTGTGTTCCCAACAGACCTGCTCTCAATGTGTTGCACATAAATACCCGATATGTGACAAACGTTGTTGTTGGGCGACATAAGAACTCCACAGTACGACATAAGCCCTATCCTGGACCTTGCTTGGCTCGGGAAGAGAGAACTCGCACAAAGAGTGAAAACTCTGATGTGGATTTAGATTGTCACCATGGTATTGCTTTGTCTTCATTTCCTTCTCAGCAGTTTGAAGTCAACAGTCTTCACAAATCTCGATCCATGGAAAGTGTTACAATAAACTTGTCTGATGATGAATGTACATCGCCACCAACACAGGAGGTTGAGTCTGTTTCCAATAAGATACAACAATTGCAGGTTAATGAATGAACATGTAACTGTGTTTTGTGTTCACAGTTGTGATCCACTGTGATGTAACTCACTGTGCACCATCTTATAAGACATATGTAATTCTTGATGGCACAATCCAGATTTTTTTGATTTATGAAACAAGCTGGTACCTTGTTATGTAACCACAAACTTCTAAAATATTTATTTAAAGGTTAGAATATTTGGCAATGAATGTATGCATGTTCCACATATTTAAGAACAGTAGTGATTTTATTAAACATATGGAAGCCTGTTGTACTGGAAGAGATACTATGTTTCTGTGTTTGTTTTTTCCTTCCCTAACTTTTTCCTAGCTATGGAGGAGTTTTCAGGCAGATATACCACTGATCAATGTGAATTGGTATTATGTTTTAACACGGAGATGTCAAAAGACTTGTAGTGCGACTTTTAGATTTATAAAGTTTAATGGTGACTGTAATTGGTACAGAAGGTTAGTTAGGGTACCATAATTGTGCCTGTAACTCATTTTACCAAAGACAAGTTATTAAGATTTCTGTTTCAAATTTTCATTGTGATAATTGTTGTGTATATAATTACCATTTTGTACTGTTCCTAGTGTCTTGAAAACATACCACTACCTGCATGCAATTCATACTACATAAATGGTGCATGAGCCAGATTTTTTGATGGTACTTGAACATGTACATGTAAAGAAATGCCATACTTGACAAATCCTAGGTATTAGGTTATCATGGTGCCTTGAAATTATATTGTGGTATCTTGGTTTTCAGTACTGTTGTCATGTTTTGGCCAAAGTAAGTAACGGAGAAATTTCTTAGGAAGATGTCAAATTTTACTAGCCATCCTGTCGGCAAAAATTTATAGGTGATTCATTTCTGGACTAAATTTGTTGAGACTTGCAAAAATGTTTAATACATAGCAGTGTTTTATTTCTCTTCCGAGAGTTTTGTTCAATAGAATGAAAGTACTCTTCAGCATGAAATATTAACCAAATGTTATACATAACTCTTGAATGATGGGGACATTTGTTTATATAAAAGTATGGGAACTCTTTTGTTGTGCTGTATATTGTGACTGCATTTAAGGTATACTTTTTCTGATTCATCATCATCCTCAATGTGGAAATTTGCATGAGGCTTCTGGACATTGCCATGAATACCATTAATAAAATTAAATTTAGATGAACATGGACATTATAAATTAAATCATGCACAGCACTGGTAGTGTTGATGTTGTTAACATTTAAGTGTATGGCCAAAAGCTTATCTGATTGCGTTGTGTAGCCTTGGCACCACTCCTCTCTCCTCTTTTACATTTGCTACCCAGCATCACTCATATAGTGGAGTATAATCAATGAAAGTATAATGCCACATTGAAAATTTCAGAGAGAGAAAAAATCCATGATTTTGAAAGGAGGAAATGTTTAGGTAATTTGCACAAGGTTTACATTGTCATCTAATAAGTAATAAAATTAGTGTAAGTGGATTTGTGTTAATTTAAAAACTACTGATTTGCAGGGACATCTGAACATTGGGTAGCATAGTATGAATCATTTGAATCCGGCTGCACTAAGAAAGATATGAATCAGCCTGAATGTCATTTGAAAATCTAAAATGTATGAGTCATTCTTTCTTTATTATATATACTTCTTTTTTGACTACAGAGTTGATTTTTGAAGGAATGCTGAAAAAGACTGAAACAAAGAATAACGTATGTACTTATAATCTGGATGTATTCTATAAAAACTGTAATATATTTTAATTATTTTGTACTTAAAATACAGTTGTATAAATTGTAGTAAAATGTATAACAAGTCAGGAAGTGTACACATAGCATAAATGGCAGAGTTTCCAGAATTTGACCTCTTGCCATTTAGTCAAGGTAACTATAATAAATGTGAGATTTCAGGTTGTCATAGAGATGAACATGAAGATGGCTGTCTTCTAGGATGTCACACTGTGTAGTCTGGTAGGTACTGATCAACAGTTCAGATTGCTATCAACCTGATGATGGAAGTAGTCATCTCTGATTTGTCAGTTAGTACCTATTAGATTACATGGTGCAACATCCTAACTTATTCACTTCAATGAGCAGAAATGTACGGTCTTCATATACAAGGTCCCCATTGTTCCCATTATTGTCTGATTTTAACCAAGAATGGGATGTATCAACAGATTAATTAAACTTTCCAACATTAAGTTTCATGAAAGTCCATTAGTCTTTCTGGAGCTGTTCCATGCTTATGGCCAAAGAGATGGAAGGAGTGATTCTAATAGGCACTCAGCAGGGATGTAAATGCACCCAAAAATTCTTGTAGGACTCTTCAGTGCTTTTAACTAGAATATAAATACAGTGAAACCTCTATCCATCGTTCCCGGAACTATCGTTTTCCCGGATGCATCGTCCGTTTTGTTCGGTCCCGAATACATCCCATATAAAATAATGTTACATTTTCCCGCTTCTATCGTTCCTCGAACTATCGTTTTATCGCATCGATCGTTCAAAAATCGTAGTCCCGGCCCACAATTTTCCCGCAATGATCGTTCCTGAGAATTTAAAATGCTGGGTTTAGAGATAAATTAATACCGAAAGACGCACAATGTTTTTGGAATAAACAGTAGCGGTAACCTGTTATGTCGCCCAACCAGCACATTCTTTTGGAATGAGGGTCAGCGGTGCAGGGGTGATAGTTGGAGTGAATGGCGGTGCCCATTGTCAGAAATTTTACGATTTTAATTAGGGTGCACTCATATTTCGTTCCAGCGATGCCAGATGGCATGTGCAGTGTGAATTTCTTCACAAATGCTTTTATTACAAGGACAAAGGAAAGGC